GTATTGAAAACAAACAGTGGGAAAAAAAACTAATTGTATCAAATTGAATTAATTTGATACCTTGAAAAATCAAAACATCTGTGACACTAATAAGATGATTTGTGCACTTATCCTCGAAAATAAACATCTTGATCTCACCGTAAATGTTTTGGCTTTTAAGAGCAATTTTGTCCTTATCGAGAATATCAAGGGAACTAGGTACTAGACAAAAGTGAAAGTCACATAAAATTCCTATTCTTATCTGTTAAAAATGAAAAATTCCTATTCTTATCTGTTAAAATGAAAAAAAAATCCACAAATTTTTAAAAAAATTAGAAAGTTGTAAAATTTTTAGAAAGATTGAAAAGATTTTTACAGGTATGATTTGAGTTGTCGTTGTCAATCTGATGGGAGGAATACTCCCAAAACACTTCGGCATGGTGAAAGCAATTCTTGAGAACCAACCCTCTATTCAGAGCATTACCAATTATGTAGTAATATGGTTAGTGTATTTGGTTGCCTAACCATGAGATTAATTGGAGGTCAAGATCAGTGATGAATGGATTGTATGATCCGACAATTCTTCTCTCAGATTCTCTAGAAGAAGATCACTGAAGAAATGGATTGTATGATCTTGCAATTTTTCTTGATTTTTGGGTTTGGTGAGTTAAAAAAGTTTGAGAGAATCCATAATCTCAAACGTATTCGATTTATGCTTACATCCAATCTAATTGTAATGCAAATTAAATGTTGTAAGATAAAATATATTTATCTATATGGGAGACATAACATTTGATCTTTGTTGTTTCTAATTTTTCTTGTATATTATGAAAAAAATATAATTTTTATCTTTAAATATTCTAATCTCAGTTTGATGCGCGTGTCAAAAATCTATTTAATTTAATTTTTAACATATTTGCAACTGATTCAAAGTTTAACTTGCAAAGGTAGCTTTGTTTTAATAAGTTTATTATAGGGTTAATTAGGTTAATATTACATTTGGAGTTAATAATTAGCAATGTGACATGTTGATAAATGGAATTAGGTAGTTAACATGTAAAGAGAAAAAACTGACAAAAATGCCCCTACGTCTTTACTAAGGAAATAAGGTAAAAATAAAATCTCTAAATATCTGTTTTTAAAAGAAACATATATCTTTTATTGAAGAAACGATCTGACGGAGAGGTATGCGGCAAAGAAATCCAGAAATCCAGTCTGATTGATCGTGATTGATTATGATAGATCAAGGAAGCTGTAATTTAGGAGAAAATCTTTGGTGTATCTGTTTTAATTCGATGAGTATTTGGTCTCTTTGCTATATAATGGGGTATGTGGTTGCTATTCATTAGTCGGAGGTGTCTGAAAGTAACCTAGCAAAAAACGACGGAGGAGCAGATTGTCAGCGTATCTCGTTCACAAGAAAATGTCTGTATAGTCGACTATATTAATTTTCTTCTTTTAAGTTGTAGTTGACTACAAATCTGAGCCTGAATAGTGAACTATTTATTGCAAATGTCGAAAGGAACTTTGGTTGTTGTGATGTTGGGTGAGTGGATTGTTTTGGAGTCTGGTATATATCTGTATGAAACCATGTTTCATGTGTATCTGTATATAATAGTGAACTAAATTTGTATATGACATACCAACATAATTGATTCGTTATAGTTGACTATATGAGAACAACAAGTAGTGCACTATTATGTATATTGACGTCTAGTTAACTATTCTGTATATAATAGTGAACTATACATTGTAATGTTATAGTATTGAGTTACTGTAGTTAGCAATGTGTTTGATATTGTATAATCCGTAGTCATTCCCATATGTGTATATGTACAGAAGTTGACTATCTTCTGTACCATTTTAATAATAGTTGACTATGGTTACGTATAGAGCTATGGTGTGTCTTTTGTACTAATTAGTTTGCTGGAGTTTTTTTTTTAGGTATTGAAGGAGCCCTATATGATCTTGAATACGAAGGTGCAGTTGTCTTCATTGGAAGAGTTTTCAGAAGCAAGGAAGTTTTTAAAGTGGAGATGGCTGTACATGCGCAATCGGAGATGTGAATTCCAGAAGATAAAAACGAAATTG